TACTTCTAATATACCATCATCTTCCCTACACATTTGTAAAAAACAGCTAGAACTTGGGCTTCTGTATGAAGTATGAAACACTTAAACAGAACGTAACAAGATGAAACAAGTAATTTAGTAATCCACTAGAGCAATACAGATAAATGGAAGTGCTCTCTGCTCTAAACAGAGAGCAAGCAAATGAGTGACTAGGAGAACAGAATGTAAACTACTACATATATGGGGAGCTTTTTGCTTGTTAGTTTTAATTTTATTCAAATATAAAGAAGGAAAACAGCAGAAAGTAGGACAAAATGGTATGCCACAGGTAAGTACGTAAAGGTGTGCTGAGGTGAAATGTATGTAAGACTGAAGAGGTGCCAGAAAGAAAGACAGAGAATGAGAAGACCAAATGACTGACCGGAGACTGATAAAAAGATGAGAAAGACAGCAGAGGAGAGGCTGCTATCTATTTAAGATCGTTGAAATCTTCAAAAAGCTTCTTTACTAAGCACTCAGGAAGAAAATGCTTGTGGCTTTATTGGAAGCCCTAAAGCTCATGGATCAATATCCCCATGGGAGGAAATATTACAGCTTCCAGCGAAAAAAAAGCAAGCTGTCTTCAGTTCCTTTGTCTGAATACATGTAGTTCAATGACCACAATATTTTACATTTTCTGTACACTCTTGCACGTTATCTGACTGCAGCTATTTCTTGCTAAAATAATGCCTATGGAGCCTCCTGGTCTTAGAAGCATTTAACTCTTCCGCAAGACTTGCTATTTATTGGGTAATTTTACTTTGGTTCTGACTGCTTGGAGAAACACCTCAGAGAATCTAAATACTAGCCAACACTGAACATTGTTAAATACTAACCAAGAACCATACAGGTTTCTCTATGCTTGAAGAGCCACTTGATTATCCCTGTTCTAAAGCAATAACCATTTTATGTCACTATCCCAAGAACACAATTCTTGCTTTTTTGTTAAATAAAACCCCCCTCTAAACTGAAAGACTTCCCCTCCTAGTTTTCACACTACTGCTCTAGATTCAGTCCTTCACACTCTGTTTCAGGTGAGGTGACTGTGGTAGGTCCTTTCCTCCAAATTGTGTTTGTTCAACATCAAACTTCACCAAGCGATTTCACCTCTTAACATCCCCAACTCTACCCAAGACAAAACCTTATGCAATCTGATTCCATTCCTGCTCCTATTGTCTCACTTCTGCCTCTAATTTTATTAGCTTTCTCCAGTGGATCTGTCTCACATGGAAAAAACCAAGCTAACAAAACAATTATGGACTTGAAGATAATGCTAGTAAGATTTTGAACCTTGAAAGCATTTCCGATATCTGCTCATTTTGACTGCAAAACATTTCCCAAAGGAAACAGGCACAAATACAGACAAAAAATAATCAGAAAACACTCTCAGAAACTTAACAGCAAATGTCTACCACAAAACTTGTTTTTATGTTTCCAGCTTCTTGAAAAACTTTCTTGTAGCCTGTTCTTGAAGACTACTCACATTAGTTTAATTGTTATGAATATTTAAGAAGTCTCACAGGAAATTATGGGAATGGGATTCAAGTAAGGTTTCCTGCCTGTTAATCAACACAGAGCGATGCCTTCCTGATACTGTCTGCTGGAACAGAGTAGCAACTTGTCTTTTGAAAGTTACATTAAAATGGAAAATTATAGGACAGCAGTAGTATTTGGTGTTTAGTATAGTAGTAGATTCATTTGTCTAAAAATACAAACTGCAAAAATCATAAGTCTGTATTTTTTTAAATATGCATTTAAATACCTGTGGTTGCATGAGTTAGTTTGTACAAACAAAATTCTGCAAAAGACAGGCAATTTTCATAATTGCTTCCGAACATTTCTATAAAAACTAACACTTTCCCTCATTTAATAAAATACTTCTTACCCTAAAATTCAAAAGCCATACAACAAATTGATAACTTCTAGCTGAAAAAGAAATAATAGAAGCACTGTAAAATTTACTCAGAAGGAAACTAAAGAAGTCTTTAAGCAACCATTTCCCATGACAGACAAATTCCTAAAAGAAGAGATCACACTCACCCACTATCTTAAACATCAGAAGAGCTCACATTCAGAAGTTTAAACACATAAAAATGAATGTGTTTCATGATATAATGCTCTACCATCAGTTCTGAGGTATCAGCTTCTATAGAAATGTAACACAGTTATATTTCTCAATTGGCTTTCACTACTCTGATAATGAATCTTTCAAAACAGTCTAGGTTATTATAACATAGGACAATGCATTTCATTCTCTGCCTCTTTAGTTACATTTGTGACTATGAAGACAAATACAATCTCACAAGAACTGACTTGTGAAATTCAGAACTTGCCTACGGCTATGTTGATTATACTAAAATAGTCCAATGTAAATGTTGTGATGCTGTACACCACATGAATAACACAGCCGCCTACTTAACTGACTGCTAGGTATAAGGACACTGCAAATTCCAGGAGCGTTCAAAGATTCAAAATACTTCAATTTTAATAAATCACAGTTAGAGGTATAAAAATTGGTACAGTAAGAGACAACCATTTACACTGTAGCCCCAAAGTCCATTGCAGAACATGAAGAACTTGACCCAAAAAAGGGGTAATTTTTCTTCAGGCCCAACCACATCAATACCAGCTTGACCTGCAATTTTCTAAACTACAGTGTACAACAGCTACTGTGCTAAAAATATTCTGTTACTCAAACTTTGAGATATTCTCTCCAGAGATAGGATTTCCTGATAGGAGATTCAAATTAATAGGAAGTGCCCTTCCTGTGTTTTCTAGACTGCTAGACTAATGAGTTTGTTTTCAACAGCGTGTAAAAAAATGAAGGAGCAGATTTATTTGTTGACTGGTGTTCAGTGCTTTGAAGTGAAGTGACCTTGTATACAAAGCTGAAGCGTAGTAGACCACAATCATGTCTATTTAGCCACAATGCTGTAGCACGTTTGGTTTTTCCTGCATTCCTGAAGAAACTTGTACAGGAATTGCCCTGAGAGCCTTGTAACTGGTGACTTTTATTTTAGTCCGCAAGTAGCCCCATTAGAAACTGATGGGAATGCTTGTGAAGCAGCTGAGCAGAGACCCCTACTTTCAGCAAAGTAATTTTTATGTAGAGAATGTGAGCAGTTCTGGCCATGCATATACAGCTATGGCAAACCTACCTGACTCACTCAGCCATATAAACACACTACAAAAAGTCAGCACATCTAAAAAATAATTACAGAACACACACTCTGTAATATAATACAAGGAAAAACAGAATCCTGTCATTAGGATTTCCAGATATTAAGGCTAAGTGACAGTCAACACCAGTTTTGAAGAAAAAATGTGCTTTACAATCAACTAACTTCTCAGGCCATTATGTTTTATGCTTTGCACACAGCAAAAACATGGAGCCAAAAGACTGAAATGAAAATGAAAATGCAGTTTTAAGACTAATTAGACATTTGATTGTGATTTACAGAGGATGAGGGGAAAAAGGACAGCACCAGCATGCAGCTAGACTAGGAAATTCAACAGTCAGGAGTCTCACCAATTACAAATATTTCAATCTTTTTCACATGCACGAAAAACCCCACCCACCATTAAAGAAAGCTAACAGATTCTGACAGATGGGATCCTCCTGACTTCCTTCTGCATCAAGTCATGCTCCTGCAAGATTCTTGTTATTGCAGCATTACATCACCAACAAAGTGATGATCATCTGCAATGACTTCAGCAAATGCAAATGAAAAAAACAACTCATCATTAACCTGATAATAAGCTTTATCTTTCCTACTTATAAGTTAGCTGTCGTCAAACACATACAGCAGTTCAGTTGTAAAAATTAAACTTCATATATTTAGACACAAAAGATTCTAATATTAACCCAAGTTTATCTCATTTTCTCTTTCCCAGCTAATGGATGCTTTCTTTTATTGTAAATGTTGCTGCTCCTTGATATTTTCAATTAATGAAAAAAAAATAATAAAAGAACTTTTGAGTAATTTATCAAAGAAAGTATTACTTTCATCCAGGACTATTAGATAATCATTAAATATTCTTTCACAAGATGGAAAGAAAGGTGAGCCATCCACTTTGTCATGGATCTTAAATGGTCCTTTTGACAAAGTTGTTGATAATGGATCAACAGTAAAAATACAAACAATTCTCAGGGAACTGTTATCAAACAGTGCCTGCTTGAGCAGGGAGGTTGGACCAGATGATGCACTGTGGTCCCTTCCAATTTGACCTATTCTGTAACTCTGTGATATTGGGAGATATAGACAAGTAATTCTGTGTCTTACCATGTATTTTAAGAAAATAGTAAGTATTTCATTCCTAGTCACAGAATGAGAAAAACTATTGTAGATACCAGAGTATTAAAATCTGAATATTAAAAAAAAAAAGTTAAAACTGTTAAAAAATGCTAAGAGGTAGTAAGAGATTAACCTTATAAACACTTTAAATGTATTTTGTCCTTTTAAATTGCAGTAACAGCATCAATCTAAGAAGACTCTTGACTGTTTTCAGGTCTCATGTAGAAAATTTTAATTTAACAATCTATTCACACACAAACAGATATATTCACCTATTTGTCTAATAATTTGAATTTTTGAATTTTTTCCACTTGTAATGTAATAGCAATCCTTAAGCAGCAAACTTTTGCTACACATCACAAGAATGGTTTAACTGTGCTCTAATCAGAGTACAGTTGCATAGGAAAGGACAAGAGTTACTGAAGTCAAATGGCAGCCTGCCATTAAACCTCTGTTCTGTGACAATGCCCCCCGGGCATCTTAAGAGAGGTCTCTTGATTAAAAGCATATTTTGTGCTGTAAAAGTAGACAAAAAGGCAGAGATCTAAATGCAGGACAGGAAACGCCCTTTTCTTCTGAGCTTTTAGTATCACTTCTATGATGTGTCATTTTTTTGAGACCTTCAGTATATTTCCGGAAATAAAAAAGAGGAAAACCTTCAGCTACAGAAATAAACAAAAATCTCACCTTGTTATTTTCACACTTGTATGGGATTTTGAGGGTATCCATGGCCTTGATCATGGCCTGCATTGCTGTAAATATATTCTGGTACACCAGTTTTGTAAAGCCCCTTTTGTCTTCATCAGAGTAACCTGATCCATGAATGATTCTCATCTGCTTGATAAATGTGCTTTTGCCACTCTCTCCTGTGCCTGCAAGACAAATAAGAAGGATATGCTTTACCCAGTGGACACAAACACGACTTTTTTTGCACAACGATGACAGCTTGCTTAGTTGCAGGATACAACAGTTTCCAGTGGTGCTTGGAAGGTAACTACAAGAACCAGTTCAAGGTCAAACAGCAACATCAGTAGCAACTGAAGAACTGAATTAAAATTTGCATTTTGATTTAGCAACTAAACTAATGAGCAAAATGGCACTCCAAAATATACATATTATATATGACTTCATGTTTGAAAGTACTTTTTCTTAAAGATGTAATTGTACAAAACTCTAACTTAATGAGACATTTCATCACAAAAGTTCAGAGAGGAAGAAAAACAATCATCCAAGGCTATCTCTCAGGACATCACAGTAATCTGGTATTACAAGCAACTGATATATGTGTTTTGGTTTTTCGGAGTTTTTTTTTCAGGGGTGTTGGTTTGTTTCGATTTTCAGTTTTATTGTATTTGTTGGTCTGGTTTTTTATTTGTTTGTTTGAGGGGGTATGGCTGGGTTGCGGCTTTGTTTTAAGCTAGTATTGGAACAATTCAGAACCCATCAAACTTCAATCTCAGAACCATATGAAATCACTGTTAATTAAAATTTGGTTCATATTTATTAATGAGCAGTCACTCCTTCCACTACATCTTTTTCATGTCTTGTTATACTTTGTACTAAAAGTAGTTTATTGATGAAATATGACTATTTGTCAACTTTAAGTTGAGATCTCCTTGTTGGAAACTCCACAAAGGTTATAAGACACAACATTTTTCCTTTGCTCCAATTAAACAAGCTCATCTATGACTACAAGAGCTTATCTATATTATCCCTGTATTTTCTTAAGAGAAGGAGTTGAATCTGCACAGCTACATAAGCCCTGTGTTCACCCAGCTACTCAGCTCTGCAGAAAACAAAACGCATTGCTCAGTGCTGTTGTTTTCAGACTTTCAGCCTCAGATTTATTTTAATCATTTCTATAAACCTTTCATGCCTCGTACCATAACACTCATGTCCAGGACAAAGGCAGTTTTATAAGCCTCTTAGATAATGTTTTCAGTGTCCTCCCAAAAAAGTGTGTTTCACAGCAGTGCAGTTTATAGGAGTAACCCTTAACAATTTCTGAGACAGCACACACTGCAAAATCTAAGCCTCTAAAATTTTCTGCCTTTACCACAAGCATAATTTTGAAACCATCACTCCCATTTCCTGCACACATATAATTAACTTCTAATGCAGTTTTTCTTTACACACACATTCCCAGAAAATCAAACATGATGTTACATACTACAGAATCATAATGGTTTGGGTTAGAAAGGACCTTAGAGATCACCTAATCACAACACCCCCCTTGCCATAAGCAGGGACATCTTCCATTAGACCAGTTTGCTCAGTCCCCATCTAACCTGGCCTTGAATATTACCAGGGATGTGCCATCAGCAGGTTCTCTGGGCAACTTGTGCCAGTGCCTTACCACCTTCACACGTAAAGAATTTCTTCCAATATCTTGTGTAAACCTACTCTCTTTCATTTCAAAGCCATTTCTCCTTGTCCAATCACTACATATCCTCATAAAAGCCCCTCTCCAGCTTTCTTGTAGGCTCCATTTAGGTAACGCAAGGCTGCTAGATCATCTTCCTAGAGACACTGACTGGAATCAACTTGTGCTTTCTACAGCCTCATCCATTCATTACAGAACAAGTTAAAAAATACATCATGGCAATACATTCTTAAAATTTTACCATTTACCATAATAAACAAAAACAACACTGCATAACAGCCTCAAAATGACCTTTTAGTGGGCCTGTTTCACCTGGTGAAAAGAAGAAAACCTGAAATTACCTAAGAAAAAAATCTACATATTCTTCTGAGAGGATATGAATGCCTTATGGGCTCTGTTAGCCACTGCTTCTGCCACCATCATTCTACTAATACTTCCAGCCGATACTACTAATACCTCCAGCCGATACAAGGCAAAAGCAGAGGCAAAACGGCAGTGTAGTGGATCAGCAGAATGGACCAATGGGGGATAACACTATACTGAGACCAATTTTCTGCTGGCTACGACAGCACATTTACATTAGTCAAGTCACTTCTCTGAAGCCAGATATATAGTATCTTCTTATCTCTCAGAAAACTGATGAAGCCACACAACGTACCTGAAACTCAATCATAACCAGAATACCATTGCCACACTCCCTCATCTTTTGAAAAACATTACTTTCAACCTTTTCCACCCCATACCCTCCCCAATCCTAATATAATTCCTTGTCTAGTACTTAGGTGAGAATTGAATATTCTGACTGAATAAAACCCCCACACTCCTGATTCAAGCACACACCTTGGTTGGTCATCTGACTTTTAAACTTTTTCTCAGATAAAATCAACCTAATGAATGAAAAAAGATTAACTGTCCTCTAAAAATAATAAAGAAATGTCTATAACAGTGATGAACTCTTCAATCGTGGCACACAGGATTATCAAAATTTAAGAGTTTAGCATCTTAAAAACTGAAAATTTCTGAAAACCTCTTTTTTTATTCTTGAAATGTTAATAGCTACAACTATTACTGTATCATCAAGAATTTTACAACCAGAGATCTGAAAGTACTTCTAGCAGTTTTACATCCACAAGCAGAATCAGGAAAGAAGCCAGGTTGCTTAAATGCAGAGTAGATCCTTATGCATGCACTTGCACCCAGATATATACATATCACGTACAATTTATTTCTCCTGGTACACATCCTGCAAAAATGAAGCCATAGAATGTTGAAATGCAACATTCTTTGCTCTGCAAAACTTACGGAAAACCTTTAAACATGGTTTATTTTAAATAGGTGACAATGCAGCTACTGGCAGAGAGGTTTCAGAACTTGTAGTGACTGACAAAGAAGATACAGGAGACTAATTTAAAAGAAAAACAACTGTAGAAGATTAGAATGACAAGCCTTTCCTTTGTATGGCTGTCCTGTACTTGTTTTTGCACTTCTCTGCATTGCAACTTTAAAAAAAAATCTTAGGTATAACATCTTCAGATCAAATATGAGACTGGTTTTTAACTACAACAAAAACCACACCATTCTCTAAGCAAAACTCACACTGGCATCTCTTATACAGAAACACTGCTTAACTACACCTGATAGTGTTTTTTTCCCCAAGTTTGACCTACGAAAAGGCAAGAAAAACCTGCTATTTTACTGTTTGAAATTTTATATTAAATTAGATAGAAGAGGACATTCCTAAAAAAGGAAGGAAAGGACATTCTCCTTAAAAGGAAGGAGAAAGCCATTGAAATCCATTACCCTGTTAGTCAACTGTATGCACACAGTTACTAGGAGCTGTCAAAACAACAGTGTGTACATTGACAGAAAACTGGCATTCATCTTGGGGCTTGGACGCAGAAAGAAAGCCTACAAGTACCTGGAAAGTGAAGATTCATGGGTAAGGGTGGAATCAACATCCTACACAGATGAGCAGAACCATACTATAACCACAGTTTCATCAAACATTCACTTAGACAAAGCAGTCACTTGTACACTGCCTTACAGACTTACAGAAAAGGGGAACAATAGTAAATAGCAGAGTAACTCCTAGGAGGAGTAAGAGCTAAAACTCTTAGAGAGGTAATGCATGAAAAGAAAAATACTTGATTTCATTTAAAGTTATACTTCACTTGGAAGAAAGTTTGATGTCCTCTATGCTACCACTAATTCAGTGACAGAGAAAACAAAAAATATGGTTTGGTCTGTTGCTGTTCTAGCAGTGGAATGCAGTGGGATCACATTTCTGCTGAAACCAAGTATGGGTAAATAAAAAAACATAAAACTGTGCAAAATTCAGGCCTTGGACCAGCTTGGCTTTGTAGGTGACAAATCAGTTAAAATGTAGTATGGAATGCATGAAGATCCTCCCAGGAACAGAAGCAAAGAAGCCAGTCTGTCCTACCACTTAGAACAGCAGCCTTCAGGCCCACAGTTGAAGGCTACTGCGGGGAGGGATATTCAGTTGATAAGACTGTAGAAAAACTCCCTGAGGTGGAGGTGAAATTCCCCACCTCATCCTGTAACATGTCGAAGTTCTGGAGCAGAACTAGAGTATCCTTTCCCCATCAAAAGAAAGCAGCAAGGCCAGTGAAATGAGGAGGCTCCCACACAAAAACTTCAGTCCATCTGATGTGCTCATGCACGTAGGCAGACTGTGCTCTCATCCTGACATCTTATGAAGAGATCCTTGCCTCTACAACAGCCTTAACCATCACCTTTGTCAACAGTTGCCACAACTGAGCTGACCTGCTTCAAGCTGGTTACAGCTATTGCTCAGGCAGTCCTTTTTAAGTGAAGACTGCTAGTACTCTATGAACTTTTTTCTCTATTGCTTAAAAAGTATTATCGCCATGACACTGTATCATACCTCTTGAAAGACACATAAGTACCAACCTATACCTCCAACCAATTTATACTACCACAAGTTAATAACTGAAACTGACCATTTTCACCTTGGTCATAGAAACACCAAAGAATTTCAGTGACAACTCATCCAGAGACATGAACAGAATCTCTGTAAGGAATTACCAGTCCTGATAATGGATACAGTAGGCATATTAATATTTTTCACAAAATGAACAGTTGAACCATTATATTTTCCTTGTGTGATTATATAACTCATCAACTGACATTAATAGATTAAACCTCACAAGAGTTGCTTGATGTTAGGAAACATTTCAATGGCATTTGATTTAGTTACAGAAAAGCCTAGGAAGTTTCAAGCAAAAAAAAAAAAAAAAAGCCAGAAAGACAACTAAGGTGTCCTGACGTCTGATCCTACATCAATGACACCATGTTTTGCAGCTATGTTAAAAATTGAACAGAATAACTACAAAAAGCCAAATTAGGTGAGAACCCCAGTGATGGCATTTTGAGATTTAACAATGCATAGGTTGAAGTTAAGAACCACTTAGGAAAAAATGGGACAGGGGTACATATTGTTCTGTT